TTCGTCAAATGCGAGCGAGGAAGTGTCTGTCTAAACGGTTTATGTTCGTGTATGCCTGGAACAATCTTAGAAGAAGATCGATGCAAAAAAAGGATTACGGGTATACATCACAGAAGGGTTTTTTTATCAGTTGTTAGTTGTTTATTTGTAGATATCCTAAGTTTTTGTAGAAATAAGTTCTTTCAAAGGAAAAATAGAAAAGTTTTTGAATTGGTTGAAGGCAACAAGACTTTTCAGCAAATCTGAATGATCAATGCTTCAATAAGACTGAGTGCCTTGGTGGTTCTTTTTGTCACGAAATTAGTAAAATGTGTGTATGTCCGCCAGGTACAATCAGAAGTGGAAAAAACTGTCGTCAAATCTTTCGATCACCACCGGGATTTCCTTGTGGAAGCGGACAAGTAATTGTGTGATTTTGAAATGCTGTTTTGTGGCGATAGGCATTAGCTTAGATGTGGTTAAGTATCTTCTTCACAGTTTTTTTGATTCGCAATAACTTTAAGTTTTTTTATCGTGGGTTTCAGTAGCTAGTTTTCAGGAGTGCATTGGCGGCTCATTTTGCATCCAAAATACTTGTGTTTGTCAGAAAAATTATCTTCGTGAAAACAGGAGGTGCATTCCGAAGTTGAAAGGTAACGATTTTTCTTTTTCAAACTGAAGAAGTAGGAAATGTGAATTTTACATGTAATGAGTTTTAAAAGACAATGTAAAAATTTAGCTGGTCCATACGGAACCTGTGCAAGAGGTCAGTTGTGTACTGGTAACTCAGAATGCGATTCCTTCTCGAGAATTTGCAAATGTTTACCCGGTTATGAAATGGTCACTGTTAACTCTGCAAAAGTTTGAATTTTCTCTAGTTTTCACCTGCTATTTCTCTATTTAATCAAAATTTCGTAGACTTATCTTGATGTTCGTTTAATAGATAAAACGACTATCTATTATTTTAATATCTGTCTTTTCAACTCCTGTTTTTTTAAATATTTTAATAGACTTGCGAAGCGATCATTCTGGCTGGGCCTGGAGATTCCTGCATTAAAAAAACTGAACATTGTGTTAATGGTTCTTACTGTATTGATGGAACATGTCAATGTATCCATAAAAAGAATTTGACTACAGGAGACTGTACCTACATTACACAAGGTCAGCCTAAATACCGCACGCTAACAGATTTTGGAATTAAAGATTAAGATACTGATCGATCATTTAAAATTAATTACTTGCTTAATTTTTAAAGAAGATTTTCATTAACAGACTGCGTCAATTCGTTGAACTGTTAAAAGCAGTTCTGAACAAACAATGAGAGAGAACAGTTTACTGAATAACTGAATAAGAACGATTATTGCTTACTGCGTTAGTTTTCAGGAATTATGATCAGGAATATATTGGTTGCTTTGCCATTATTTATGAAACATAAAATCATTTCTTGCACTGCTTTTTTAATTCGGTTTTAGTTTACTGCATGTATTGCGCTTCAACTTCTATTACTTCTTTCTTTATTCTGCAGCATTCGAATGTTTTTAAATCTATTTAAAAAGTGGTTAATAAACACTGTCTTTATAGCTGCACCTGGTGAAGGGTGTTCCAATGGAGAACAGTGTGTCGGCGGATCTTCATGTATTGACGGAATATGCACATGTCCGGAAGAATACAGCATTGTTGGCCGAGAGTGCAGAAAACAAATATTAGGTTAGATACAATTAAACGATTGAAAAGAATTTTGTTTTTGACTTTGTCAAATCATGGTCTGTGGGAAAAAAAGAGAAAAATAATTACAAAAAAGCTATAATTTATTTAAACAAAGTCATATCGATTTAGTTGTTCTAAAAAAAAGTAAGTAATTTTATAACAAATTTTAGAATTATCTAAAAAACCTTGTGTAGCGTCTAATCAATGTACGTCTGGCGCTGAATGTATCAATAACTTTTGTGAATGCTCACCTGGTACAAGAATGTCTCGTGTCGGTCTTTGTATTCCAATTACGCAAGGTGATATAGCAAATTAACAAACTCAAAAAAAAGAAATTATTTTACATGAAATTTAACTAAGCTTTTTCCCCCAAATAATTTTCAAAACACTTTTTTGTTTTATGCGTTTACGCTGACAAACCAGTTCAAGTTGCACGATTGCACGTTGGTTTATGTCCACTGCAACTTTTCAGTCCACTTTTTTCCCACTGTACTACTGTATTTGGAAAGGTGCAGAACTAATAGAAATTTTTCCTTGCCAGCTCTAACCTGTTTAACACAGGTCCTCGTAGAAAAAGAGCTGACCCACTTATGCATGAAATGGAATCCTCTAATCCAAAGAACCGCGGTTTGGGCGATCACTGTAATTCTGAACAACCGAGCAAGTGCGAAGGAAATGGAATCTGTATTGATGAAATTTGTGTTTGCTCGCCAAACGATGTACGGAATGGTACAGAATGCATCAGCAGGGCAAAAGGTTTTTTATGTTTTTAAATTTCAAATATTTTTTTTGCATGCTGTTTAAAGTAACTCGCTTTTTGCTAAAAAGTTGAAGGTGTAACAAAATTGAAAATCTGGGTTCTCAGTACACAGTAAGCTCACTATCTTCTTCATAAATGAAATTGAAAATTAAGAGTTTTGGGGAACAATAAGCAATGTTTGGTAAGGGTGTAGTCTTTTCAAGAACTGGAAAAAGCGAAAAGTCTTCAAAAACTTATCAGATTAACAATTTGAATACTTAATGCTTTTTATCAGAAAAGCTGGAGATAAATTGTTTTTTGTAGCTCTTAGCAGTTAGGTTGCAAAGCTTTTATTTTAGTTTATGTTCGCATTAGAGAGGTAAACGACCCATGCGTTGATGAACAGCTTTGTAACGGTGGATCTAAATGTATCGAAAATGTCTGTACTTGTCCGTCTGGAACCGAACTAGCAAATGGATTTTGTATCACTGTTTACGGTAAACAAGTTGTAAACTATCTAATTTGAGCTTACTCTTTCTGGTATTACAGAGGAAAAGTTATTTCTAGCTGAAGTCGGTGATGGGTGCAGAAATGGTGAAAAGTGCAAAGGGCGTGCGATTTGTAAAAATGGTAAATGTGTTTGTGGTGAAGAGGCTGAATTAAAAGACGGGAAATGTTATTCAAAAAGATTTCACGCCAGTAAGTACTGCTTTTTTTAGGGCTACTAAAATAAGTTTACTGGTTTTTCAAGGTTTAGTTAGCTAGGACTGTTGAATTGATTTGCTATTTTTTTTGCAGTCTTTCTAATTGCAAAGTTAAATTACAAAAAAAATATATATATATATATACACATATATATATGTACTGAAAAAATACTTCCAATTTTAGAATCTCCAGGAATTGGGTGCTTTTACGATCCCACAGTTTGTCCAGTTGGGACATACTGTCTAAACGGTGTTTGCGTCTGCCCGGCTAACAACCGAGGTCCAGATGGAGGATGCATTGCGATAAACGCAAATTTATATCCAAACTATGGTATACCATTGCTTGGAGGTCTAAATAATATGATTTTACCAAACAATATCGGACCTTTGATTAATGGAAATCAAAATATTAATTACCCAGGAAATATGCTTGGTTTGCCCATTAATGAAGGGCTGTTGTCAGTTTTGGGAGCCAGTGCTATCAGTCCAGGTCTTTTAAGTGGGGGACTATCTTCTTTGACCAGAGGAGTTAACCCCAGTTTACTTGCCGCACTGCTTGGTCTGAATAATGGAGGTCTTAGCAACATACAGTTAGGTAAGTGTTTTAATAATCAGAGTTTAGACAACATCATTCTTTCACAAAATAATTCAGTTTTTTGTCAAAAATGACATGTTTAGTCGGTCCTGGATCACCTTGTCAAATAAGTGATCAGAACGTTCAATGTGGTGGTAATTCAATATGTGCTAATGGTTTCTGCACGTGTCCTGGCGGTGAACAAATTGTCAACGGTGTCTGTGAAAGCAGAGACACAGAAGGTATGCGAAATACAATCTACTACGTTAGTTTGCTAAAAGGATAGCAAAATTACTGCTGGTGTTCGGTGTAGAGCCAGCATCTAATTTTTTAGTTTAGTTTTGAATAAAAGTTTGATCACACTTATTATTTTCAACTAGTTGGTTATTTTTACACGTACACGCTAGCAACTGTTTCACGTATGAATTTTACCAGCAGTAAATTTACGGCTTTCATAGACATCTTAAACGTAATTTTGAAAGTAATTTTCCTTTTACTTTAAAAGCATGTAACAATTAATAACTAGACTTTAATCAGCTGGTTGTTTATTTCAGCTTCACCTGGTGAATCTTGTCAACTTGGTATTACTCGATGCACCGGCGGTTCTCTTTGTTTGCTTGGAATTTGTACGTGTCCAGTGAATCAAGTAATTTTTTAAAAGTAGTTTAATGTTTTTTGTGGTATTTATATTTTCATATATGGTCAAAAAATAATAAACTATGTCAGACAATAATAAGTTGAAATCTTGAGGCGGCACTAGATGGAATTTGTACCCCAGTACTAAGTGTCGAAGTACTACCAAATGATCCATGTACCACGAATTCTGTCTGTGTGGGTCAGTCGTCTTGTATCGATGGTATATGCACTTGCGCTCCTGGATTTTTCGCTCCGCCAGGAGCAGCGTTTTGTACCCCAGTGCAACAACCCATGCCACTCCTAAATTCAGGTTACAACATGATACGAAAAACATGCTCATGAATGTATTCACTGAAAAATCAAAAGGATCTATACAGTAATTTTACATCTAGATGTAATGATCAGACAACCTGTCGGACGAGTATTAGTTAGTGCGCCAGGACAGAGATGCCAAAATAACGGTGCAGCAGCAGCATGCAGCGGAGGAGCAATATGTGTAAACCAAATCTGTATTTGCCCGTCAAACCGTGTTATTTCAAATGGCCAGTGTGTTCCTTTTTTAGGAGAAGGTTTTTCCTTCTTAAGTTTGCTATTCTCTTTAAATGGCATTGGATTCACAAGTTCTAACTTTTACCATTTTTTAAAGAAATGAATTCTTTGTAGCACTTCGGTAATTTCTGAGAAGTTTTAGTGGCGGCTGGGGAATCTTGCTCAGTTAGCGGTACTGTCTGCGGAGGAGGTTCGACTTGTGCTAATGGTATATGCACTTGTGCTCCAGGTGCTGCTCCTCAAAATGGCCAATGTCTTCCACTGCTTTCGGTTACTGTGAAGACTTTACCAATTTGTAAGTCTTATTCGACTGTAATCAAATGGGGAGAGAGGAGTAGAACAACAGTCTGATAAAATTTTTTTTTCTGTGGTTCACTCACTACAGTGCTAGTGGTTCATTTTTTAGTGAGTAATTTTGCATGCTGCATCACGTAATTTGTTTGAGAAGTAAGAAAAACGCAAAATTGTAGTGGAACCAGGAGCATCCTGCACAGTCCTCTGCAATGACTGTCCCCAGTGCGGTGGTGGATCAGTTTGTGTCGGAGGAATCTGTAAATGTCCGCTCGGCCAATTCGATTTTCGTTCGCAGTGCATAAAAGTGGTACCACAACTGCCTTCGGTTCGTAAAGTAATTTTCACGTTTCGTTATACTTTCTTTACAGCTCTTTGGTAAGTCAACAGTTTATCGTAGATAAAAAGAGCTCTCTTTTTTTTCGCTATTACTAGCTCGTTGTTTAGTCCGTCCCTGCACCATCTCCAGTCGTTGGTGTTGCTAACCCAGCAGCTGATCCAGCGATACGAATGGGTATATAATTTTTTTAAAATCTTGCTTCACTCCTTAATCATTCGGTAAAGCGGTGTTATTGCTGTATTTGTTATTGACCAGTGAATTAAGAAAACTTATTTTTTTCTGACAAACTAAATATATTTTTAAAAACGTTTCCAGCGCACTCTCGCTTTTTAGTTAAACCGGGAGATCAGTGTAACACATCGAATATTTGTGGCGGAGGTTCGTCGTGTGTAATTGGCAAATGCGTCTGTCCACCCGGCTATGTCCCAAAGTTAGCATTTTTTGCTTTGGTTGAACTGGCTTCGTTTTGCGAACAGAAAAAATATTACAATTCTTGTCATTTTTAAAATTCTGAAAGCCTTTGATCAAAAAATAGCCAATTACAGTGCAAACAGAGACAGCTGTATGAATAGCTTGCTGAAGCCAGGCGAAACAGTTGCTGGGGTGAATCCTGGTGAAGAATGCAGCCTGACTGCGGTATGTGGAGGTGGTGCTAATTGTGTACAACAAGTGTGTACATGTCCTTCTAATATGTATCCTCTGAATAACATTTGTACTGTTCGATCGGTTCCAAAACACCGTAAGTAGACTTACTTTTTATTGAACTTTATTTGTTGAATTCATAGTTTTTAAATTTAACGTTTTTTGTTGCTTCAGCAGATTTCTAATTACCCACTTCGTTTAGTGTATCCTGGATCAGCCTGCGCGACAATAGATATCTGCCTACTGAATTCCGAGTGTAGTCGCGGGTTTTGCGTCTGCCCAGCTGGTTATGGAACTAATAAAAAAGGGTACTGTGTTGAAGCTTTCTCACCCAGTATTGTCACAGGTAGGCAAACTTTGGAGTAATGTATCTAAATTAAATATAGTTTATTTTACTTGAAATGTTGAGACATAAAGCCCTTTCGGTTCTTTCTGGCTTTTCTGAAAGATTGTAAAGAGTTAGTTCAATTTTAGCATGCACTTATTTTTCTAGGTCTTGCTGGTTCTCAATGCGGTACCAATGGACTATCGTGTCTATCTCCGTTACAGTGTAGCAGCTGGGGAAGATGTATTTGTCCCGGTGCCACAGAAGGGAATGGGCTAGGCTATTGCTTTTCTAATCAACAATTTAATGTTCCACTTGCCTTTTCGTCATATAAGAGTAACTTTTGCAATTTTTAGTGAAATATTTAGTATCAAAACTATTTTTTACGACTGTTTGTAACAATTACCAATTACCTGTAAATTTACTAAATTAATTGATTTTCTTTTTTTTTTTTTTTTTTTTTTTTTTTTTTT